CAACTTGACTCGTGTTTATGTTTCGTGTTTCGTAGTGGTTATCGAAAAAAATAGAGTTTTGATATGATCAGTGCAGTCATGGGCAGACAGCTTTCTGTTCCTACGTTCTAAGTCAGACAGCTTTATATCTCCAAAAAGTAATTTGTGGAAAAAAAAAGACTTCACTCGTACACGTACGGTTGTTTTCTGGTATCGGAAGCAGTGCAATTTTCGAGCGTAAAAACGTCCATACCATGCATTTTTTATTCGTGTTTAAACTATTATTGAAAAAAAAGGGAGGGGGAATTTTTGGCGACCACAATTTGCCCTCTGGCGACCAAAAATTTATACTTGATCGCCAGTTGGCGCCCGTATTAAAAAGTTAATTTCGGACCCTGATTATATGTGAACCTTGGCCTAATTAAGCTTTCTGACATTGTTAAATTAAATACCTGTCTACTACAGTATTTTTATTATAACACCATATAGAAAAAGCCGTCCCAAAGCTGTCCCTTGTATATGGGCAACATAATTATGACCCAGGGAAATGCATTCTTACAGCGACTAAATCCTAGCACTTTTAGAATAGATAATTAAGAGTATTTTGTCCCACAGTTATAGGATGTTATGACTGGCTGGAATGATATACATAGGAATATCTATACGTTAAAAGCCACATAGACATTATTATTAACATCGGTAAAACAGTACTCTACCAGTATTATATTACTTGAGTGTTTTCCCATTTGCTCTCTCTTGTTATTTTCTTTTTTTTTCCTCATTCAAAATGAAATCTTATACTAACAGAACAAATAATTAGTTCTACTATATCTTGCCTTTCCTTTCCTTTCTTGTAATTCGTGTCTCTTCACTGGTGTACTCGAAAATAAAATGGAGAAAATAGAATACAAAAAATACAAATAAAAAATACAACTTATCTCAGGGGCACCAAACGACTGTTTTCTGTGAAATATCTGGTCGGAGAAGCAAATATTGCCTAGAAATTTCTATTACTTGAGGACGGCTAAAAATTTCTAGATGACTGTTCCACTCCTATTAATAAAATTTTCAAAGCTTATCTAATAAATTTCCTCCGAGTTTCTGAAGTTTAATTTTCACTTTTCTCTTCCAAAGTTATATTTTTCATGCAGTGAAAGCAGACCTAAAATTTTAGGATTCAAAAATGCAATCGACAGAGAAATTAGAAAATGTCTCACTTTCGTATAGCCTAAAAGTAGTCCCCCATTTTTCCTCAGGGATAGTAGAGCGAGCGAAACGCGAGCGCGCGTGAAAATCACGTAATACGTCAAATTGCAGCTAAAATTTTCGGGAAAATAATACTCAAGCCCTTTTAATTTCGAAAAGACTCAAGTTCCCCTAGGATGACCGACAGATACAAATTTTATAGCGCCGCTTAGAATGCATTTCTAGATACCTAAGAGTACTCTGGATAGCCTAAAAAGTGTTATCAATGTATTTAGGAGGAAACCGTCGTTAGGCGCCCCTGTTATCTATCCTATAATATACATTTGCTTTTACTAATTTTGTAATTCAGTCTGGATAGCAAGTACATGAGAAGATGGTGAAAATAATAACAGCAGTACATCCCACATCCGAGGGAAGAGACTGCAGAAAAAAAATTAGACTTCCTGGTTGTTTAAACTTCTCTGTAGAAGGAATTTCACAGCTTCAGTTTTACCACCAGATGCTGCAAGCATTAGGGGTGTGTAACCCTCACGGTCTTTAGATTCAATGTCAAGTCCACATGAAAGACACTTTTCAATAACAGTGATGTCACCTTCTCGTGCAGCATGGTGCAAAACAGTCTTCCCAGAATTATCTCTCAGAGATGGATCTGCACCCTTCAGAAGAAGAAAGTCTACAACTTCAGGCTTCACTTTGCAAGCTGCGTACATTAAAGCTGTCTTACCTGTATCGGTTCGCCTGTTGATGTTGAATCCACTGGCAAGTATGGCCTCAATTATGGAAACAATGTGACTTGTAGATAGGGAGTGTACAGCAGCAAGGTGCAATGAGCTGACTGGTAAAATGCCCGGATCAGCCCCCTCTTTAAGAAGAAACTTTACGGCCTCCAGGTTGTTGTACGCAATAGCAGCATTCAAAGGTGTCAACTCTCCAGACGTATCTATAATATTAACATCAAGTCCGCATGAGAGGATTTTTTTAATGATGGTAGTATCGCCACCTTGACAAGCACAATGCAAGAGGCTCCAACCGCTATTGGTTATCAGCGTTGGATCGGCACCTTTGTCAAGAAGATAATTTACAGCCTGTACCTTGGCCACTGCTGCAGCGCACATTAATGGTGTGCGACCGTCATAATCTCGTGAATCTATGTCCATACCAATGTCAAGTGAAAGCACTGTCTCCACAATGGAGACGTCACCACCTATAGCAGCAGCAAAAAGTAAATTTCTTTCCGTCACGGTTTTTAGGGATGGATCTGCACCTTTGGTGAGGAGGAAATCTACAGCTTGTTTCTTGCCGTTACCAGCAGCGAGATACAATGGCGTTCCGCCTAAACTATCTTTTGAGTTAACATCAAACCCCAGGGAAAGCATCATTTCGATGATTGATACATCACCACCCTCAGCTGCACTGTGTAGCAAATTCCGGTCCTTAATTTCAGCTGGTTGGCACTCCTCCCCACTGTTGTCGTTGTCTGCAGTCTTACCAGCTTCCAAATTTGGAACAGTTGTCATGGATTTCACTGAATCAAGAGAAAAAGAAGGCAACTGCTTTAAGCCTTTCCATGTGCCACCTGGAGCCAATGTTGCTGAATCTAAACAACAGAACCATTCATACAATTAAAATGACAATAAATTGTAAAACAGTACAGGATGACAGTCCAATTCACATTACAATTCAAAGTTACACAGCAAGTGACTCAGTATTACATACCGAGCTAGCAAACCAAACTATCGTGCAAGTAGTTAGTTTATTTGTTTATGGACCAGGTACCAGAAATATTCTGACCTCTTTACTGCTATTTTTGCATTCATCCATGGCCAATTATTTTGTTTAATTTTATATCAATAAACCATAATTATAACAAAGGCCTCAGTAAAACAATAAAAAGAAGACCTTACGAAGTAAAATCTAACAATTCCCTCATATCCTAATAGTTATTGGCTTAGCCCAGCTGGCCCCACCCAGAGCTTTCATTCAGCCAACAAGCTAGTTTGTCACTGAATATTGTTACAATTTTAAAAAGTTGTTTGCTATTACAGTGAAACTCACAAAAGCATCAACACCAGAAGTATTTCTGGAACGTTATTGTTTTGTAAAGGGAGAAGCCTATTGGCCATGGGAAAACTAAATCCCACGCAGCAAAGGTAATTAGTTCACGGTTTACTGGCTTGCTCACATGCCGCATTGTCCTGATCATTGCTGTGATTGGTCATAACACAACGAACATTCTTAAAATTTTTCTGGTGTTCATTGTTTTATTAGTTTCAAAATAAGACCAAATGCAATCGCAAATAAATTAATTAATATAAAATTACTAATACCTGCATTTTTCATTTTTAACGTTCTGAGCCTAATCAAAAGAGTTTTTAACAAGGACTAACAGTTACCCATTTTGAGAACCTGCACATACAGTGTAAATGTATATTAAACTGGAGGAACACAAAGGATACGATTACACTGCAACTACTGCATGCGAGGCCACCTAGACAAAATTGACCAATCGGTTTCCAAGAACTCTAGGTGGTTGTCAACAAACGAAAGAAACAAATTGAAATTTACCAATTATTACAAGCTTAACACGTGACCTGCTGAAGAGAACCTGGTAATTATTTCATAAGAGTGATAGATAGTAGCGAAAAACGTAAACATTGCTTTAATTTTTAAGCAGCAATGTTAGCCAGGAAATATGATTGTGACAAATAAATATGAATCGTGAGCGTAATATTTAAAGTCACAAACATAGAAAACATTGTTTTGTGACAAATTTTGCTTTCTTGGAAATTAAACTTCCGCTATTAATATTGACATTATTTTTGTGGTTGACCTGGCTTTTTGTTTTCTTACGAGCAGCTGATTAGCTCCAAAAACTACTTCCTCAGAATGCATTATCATGTTCCTGTAATCGTAGGGCTGTCACTAAGAGCTGGGGGCCGGGAATTTTCCCTGGCTACTATGAACGTGGGTTCTGGCTACTCTCACAGGAAACAAAAGGAAAATAGAACCCAAAAAACTTGGATTAATTTAGGTTTCTACGAAACTGCCCACTTACCCCTCCCCTAACCCAACATTTTACCCTAAGTGAGAAGTAAGTGTTAATGTTGACTCAGGGGAGCGGTAGGTGGGCACAGTTTTCAGAAACCTACAGTAAATTGATCCAAGAACTACCAAGCTAGACAATTCCCTGCCTGCTGATTGCATTTACCCGGCAACTTGAAAGAGTAGCGACGGTCCCGTAATCCAATTGGTAAATTTTGTAAAGGTGGCCTTGGTTACAATGCTGTAGTTAAACTGTAAAAACATCCTTTCACATTGCCTACCATTTGATCCAACTGCAGCTGCACTTGCTGGCCTGTCAGTTAGACCTTGCACAATTTCTTTGAATTTTGCACACTGAGTGTCCCAAGAGTAAATCTTGCGGTACTCTTCTCTGAGATGAACGGCACCATCACATCTCTCTTCTGGATTCTGCGTGGAGAGCTGTGTTATCTTCTGGAGCCACTCTTCTGGGCTTCCTGATTTTACAACTGCCAAATGCCCACCTTCCACTTTCTCCAAAGCTTTGGCAATGCCAGATTTACTAGTAACAAGAACAGGAACCCCTGCAGAAATAGCTTCAAGGGCAACCAATCCAAAGCCTTCAGTGCGAGACGGAAGAGCGACTAAGTCTGCTTCGAGAAACATTGTCTTCAGCTCTTCTTGATCGCAGTATCCACGAATAGTCACTTGATCACGTGTTATTCTTGTTGTCTGTAGTAACCACTCCTCTATTTTTCTGTGCTGTCCTTCAGGTGAACCAACAAATGTCATCTTAAATTTCTCTCCAAGAGAACCTACTGCATCAGCAATAACATCATAACCTTTCAGAGAAAGGTCCTCAAAAGTTCCTCTGCCAAAGACAAAGATGTGGAACTCATCTTGATCATTTGTAACTTTTCCAACCTTTTGCTCTGAGAGGCCAGTAAATTTTTCAAAAATTCCAGGTGTAATGACATGAACCTCCCTGTCTGGGAGACTTCTACTGTACTTTAGCTGTAAACGTGTTCCCACAGCAACCACAGCATCGGCTGCTTTGCAGAGTTCAATTTCCCTCTTATGCTTCTTTTCATTTTCTTCAATTGTATCAGTGTTTTTTGCATCTGCTTGTTTAAATTTTCCAAGATCTTCACAAAACACATGCACAAATTGCACCCATTTGCAGTTTGTAGTTTTCACAATGCAGTAAGCAGGGATGCCAAACTTCCTGCCATGACCAATCACAATATCAGGATGTGAAAGTTCTGGTGGAGGAACCCTAAGCCAATCCAGGGGATCCGAGGTTCCAGGTATGCTTGTTGCAGTGATTAAATTTACATTGTATTTTCTAGCATCTTCTCTATCTGATTCACTGCTTTGAGAAACATAGCAATGGACTTTCATCTCGTCATTTGATATTTTGGCTAAACTTATTGCAAATTCTCTGTTAAAAGTAGGCAAACCTCCCTTGGAAGACATCCACTCTTCACACAAAAACATGGCATTGATGCATTGTGACTCACTGCCACCTGTGCTTGGCACGCTTGATTCGTGTCCAAATGCGCCAAGGCAAGTTTTCTTCATTTCTGGTAATCTATAAAAACAGAATTAGGCCGTAAGCTTTATTTTAACCTATAACAATGCTATTGATCTCTCTGCAAGTCAAAGTATGTAAGTAATGAAATCAATCAATCAATCTCTTACTGTTTTTCCGTCAGACACAAAATAAAGTTAGTTAGAATTATGATAATTCATGCTGTTCAATGAACGTTTCTCATTGGCTAATTCTTGACATGTGGTTTTTGATATATTAGTACTATTCTGCTCTTTTCTCGCGCTCGTCCTTATGAACTGTGACACAGCACATGTTAAAGAATAAATGTCCAAAGAGTGCCGATGGGTTTGAATCTTTCTAACAGGTTATGGGCCCAGGACGTTAAACCAATGCTGTAAGTTACGTGATTGTTATTTTGCCGAAGCGAATGGCGGAGATGTCCTTGACAGAGATCACAAAGATCGAAAAGTTGAACGGGAGAAAATACCAGTCATGGAAGTACAACGTGAAGCTCGTTTTAATGGAGCGTGGTTTGTGGGGTTTCACTCAAGAAGGCCAAGAAACTCCTCCTGCAGCTGATGCATCTGCAGCTGTAAAGAATGCTTTTCGCCTTCGACCTGACAAAGCTTATTTGCTTATTGCGTTGAACGTGGAAAAGGATTTGCAAGTTCACATATCGTCGGTGACAGACCCGCTCGCTGCGTGGAAAATTTTGCAGAAGCAATTCGAATTTGTGTCAGTCACTCCGACTGTTCGTCTTAATCGAAAGTTTTACGCAGCAAGCATGAAGGAAGGCGCAGATTTGATGCAACATTTGACTCACATGACTTCTCTAGCGGAACAATTACGAGAAATGAATGACGAAATTTCATTGAAGAAATTTGCTACGGTCGTGTTAGGAAGTTTACCCCACTCGCATGATAATTTCTTGACAACTTTAAATGCCCGAAGCGCCGATGATCTCGACTGGGAAAACGTAAAAGGATTGCTGATTGAAGAATATATGAAGCGGACTGACAAGAACGAGAAACAAGAATCTGATAATGTGAAGCTGGTGGCGGTTGCGGTCGCGGTCGCGGTGGCCGATTTCAGAATTTTAACTTCAATGCTCAGTCCAGCCGTGATGATCGTGATAAACACAGAGGTGTTACAAAGTGCTTCAAGTGCAACCAGGATGTACATATCGTAAAGAACTGTCCGTACAACAACAAACAGAACACTGCTAAAAGACAAGGTTCCAATATGGCCTAACTCGAAGGAGTTGCACTAATCTCAAGCACGATGAATCAATCAAATGAATGGTTTATTGACTCAGCAGCCACAAAGCACATGACAAACAACAAACGCTTTTTGGAGAACTATGTTCGGTACCAAGAACCAAAAAGTATTTACCTGGGAGACAGCACAGTAATTCTTGCACATGGCGTAGGAAAAGTCAAACTCCCAACAGTAAACAGAACCCGTGAAATTGTCCTTGACTTGCATCAAGTGTTGTTTGTACCAAAACAGACCAAGAACTTACTTTCAGTACCTGCAATGGCATCGATGGGAGCAGAAATTTACTTTGACAAGGATAAATGTTTAGTACGGAAGAATAGCCAAGAATTTGTTATTGGAAGTCTATTGCGTGACAAGCTGTACATAGTCAATTCTGCCGAGTACGCTCAAGTTTCAACAGCAAATAATGCACCATCACCTGCCCTTTGGCACCTCAGGTTGGGTCATCTCAATTACACCTATATGAATCAGTTGATGAAGAAAGAAATGGTTGATGGCCTGAACTATGATGTTGACACACAATCCCAGAAAGAATGTGAAGCATGTGTTCTTGGCAAAATGCAGAAGAAGCCCTTTCCAAAACAGAGCCAACACAGGGCAACCAGACCATATGAGATTGTACACAGTGATGTATGCGGCCCAATGCAAGTGGAGTCAAAAGGTGGCAGTAAATATATGCTGACATTCACAGATGATTTTTCACGATATACCACTGCTTACTTCATTAAATCCAAGAGTGAAGTGCTTTCAAAATTCATGGAATATGTAAATTCTGTTGAGAAACATTCTGGTCATCAGACTATGAAGCTGAACATTCTCGCAGAGGAAGATGTTAAAGTCCTCAGAAGTGATAATGGAGTAGAGTACACTTCCGACAAGTTCACTAAATTCTGTGGGGACAAGGGAATCTTGCACGAGTTCACTGTTCCATACTGTCCACAGCAAAATAATGTTGCTGAACGATTGATTCGCACAATAATGGAGGGAGCAGGATCGATGCTCTACCAAGCCAAATTACCGCTGGATTTTTGGGCAGAAGCCTGCAGCACCGCAGTTTACCTTCACAATCGAAGTCCAAAAGCACTAGCATTGAAAGACGAAACTCCATTTCAGCGTTTGTTTGGTAGAAGACCAGACATTTCTAATCTGAGAGTCTTTGGTTGTGTGAGTTATATACATGTTCCAGATAGTCAGCGCAGAAAGCTGGATGCTAAGGCCCACAGAGCAATTTTTGTTGGATATCCTCCTGGTGTTAAGGGCTACAAGTTGTATGATTTGGAGAAGAAGAAGTTTATTGTGAGTCGAAATGTTCAATTCTTTGAAGAGAACTTTGATCATTCTGACGAGAAGGTCAAATCAGATGATGCTGGCCACGCAGATCTGAAGTTCATTTACCCAGATATGAACCAAGAAAATGAAAGTGTTCCCGTACCTCTCTTACGTGAAGCTCCTCCAGTTCAAGACAATGTTAAACCTCCAGTTCAAGAGTATGTTGAACCCTAGTCTCCCTCGCAGCCGTTTTTAGTATCGTCACGCAACGCTCCTCCCCACAAACGGCTGCTCACATTCAAACAACATTCCTTTCCCCCACTTAAACCAATCACCATGTAGTTTACATATTTCGGGAACTAGGCGCGCCAGCGTAATCTAACCAATCATATTGTTTCTTTTATCTTGGAGTTCACTGCTTCCAAAATGGCGACCATTGAAGAAGCTTTTGACGTTGTTAGCAAGACATTTCGAATTTCTGCCTTAAATGCGCAGCAAAAAAAAAAAACGGAATTACGAAAATAGTGGAAGAAGGAAGAGATGTTTTTATTAATCTTCCTACTGGTTTTGGGAAATCTCTTCTCTATCAAGCATTACCACTCGTGTTTGATCTCACTTCAAAACAGCCTGGTCATATTGTGGTAGTTGTTTCACCATTAATAAGCCTTATGGACGACCAAGTGTCTTATTTGAGGGAACTAGGGGTCAAAGCATGCAACATAACTTCACTTGAGGACGTTGAACGCACTCGTGTTGTAAATGGTGAATATTCCTTAGTTTACGGATCACCCGAAGCATGGCTGAAAAACGAACACTGGAGATTAATGCTGACGAACTCTGTTTATTCCAAAAAACTATGTGCGATAGCAGTCGATGAGGCGCATGTTGTAAGGCAGTGGTAAGTCTTTATGTAAATAAGCGTCTATATCAATGTAACAAGTTATCCTATGCAATAGATTTATGCCGTGTATTTTCTTTTTAATGTGTAGGGGAACATCTCAAGATAATAAAATGGCTGCATTCCGCGAGTGTTACTCAAAGCTATACGAACTAAGGTCTCTCGCACCTAGTGTGCCTATGGTAGCCTTGACTGCAACTGCAACCAAACTGACTGGAGACACAATTTTAAGTCTTCTGAACATGGAAAATGTAGTGGAAATTAAAGTCCCAATAAATTAAATGTTGCCTATGTTGTACAATATATGGATAAGGACACGGAACTTGAATTTTATTTCAGCTGGCTCACTGATGAACTGAAACAGAGTCAGGAGAAAACAGACAGAACAATCATTTACTGCCAGACTATAAGGCAATGTGGTTTAGTTTACGCTACAATCAAGGGTTTGCTAGGAACGAACATGTTTATTGGAGATGACTCAAAAAATGTGCTTGTTGAAATGTTGCATTCGTGCACTCCAGAATAAAATAAGAAGACCATTTTGGAGTCGTTTCAATCTGAAAATGGTATTATCCGTCTGCTAATAGCAACAATAGCCTTCGGAATGGGCGTTGACTGCCGAGGTGTTCATAGAGTCATACATTTTGGACCCTCCAAAAATGTAGAGTCCTTATGTTCAAGAAACTGGTAGGGCAGGAAGGGACGGCCACCAAAGCATTGCTTATGTTTTATATCATGGAGTTATGCTGAACCATATTGACGCCCATATGAAGTCTTTCGTTAAGACTAAAGAGTGCAGGAGGAAAAACATTCTAATTCACTTTGAGTGTGTGTCCATGTATCCAGAACAACCTTATCTTTGCTGCGATAATTGTGCTTCTCAATGCGAATGTGGTATGCCACACCCTGATAACCTTACCAAATACCCTGTTGCCACATACAAGGACATCCAGCCTACATTGAAGGAAAGAGAAGTGTCGCAACAGCAAATGAAAGTTGTCAGAGAAAGCTTGATAAAATATCACAAATCCATTGTCATGCAACTTGTTGGTTCTACTGCAAATGGAAATGTGAAGACCTTAACTAATTTACAATTTATGTTAGGATTTTCACAGCACCAAATAACACAGGTTCTGGATAATGTACATCGAATTTTCTCAATAGCTGATGTTTATAAGTTTGTAGAAATATGGGACAAAAGGCATGCACAGAAAATACTTTTAATTCTTAACAATGTATTTGCAGACATCAATGATGACTGTGATTCAGAAATTGCTGTAAATAATGCTGATAACTTTGAATTTGATGATGATTTACCTGATGAATGGCATGAATTTTTGCCAGACGATGAACTTTATGATATGATCTTGGACGACTTGTCATTGTCACAACTAGAAAGTTCAGTACTGGAAGAAAATGCCAGTGATTCAGACAACGATGATGTTATGCCACCAGCAGTATTGGCAACAGTAGAGAATATGGCATTGGATCACTAATGACTGATAGTTTACTAAAACGGACATTGTCAGCTGGTGTGCATGCTCATTACATACCTATTCTTAGCTGATCTAAATACACTTTGTCATAAGATACTGCTTTTAGCAAGTATGGTAATATACTGTAATGCTATAGGATGAGGAAAAGCATACTCAGAAACAGGTTTTCATCATAAGATTGACAATCGAAAAAACTATAGAGAAGATTGAAGTGGATTTCTCTATGTAGTATTCTTTGATTTTGGATTGAGGAAGACACTTTTCACATTAAAAAGCCAGTGTCCAGGTCAGCATGGTCACAAAGCTGACATTGTCCCTTTGAATATTATTGTGTAGACTGTATTGTGTACTGGCCAAGGTTTTCTAGGTTTTCCAGAAAGGGCAGGGGCACATCTGTTTGGGTCAGTGTGGCCTCTGTGGCCTTCTGAAATCTGTCCATGTTCTTATTACCTCTGGTCCTTTTTTGGAGCAGAAAGCTTAGTGCTATAATTTTTTTGGTGTGTTTTGATAGATACAGAATATCATTGTCAGAAGAGTCATGCAATTAGACAAAGATGAAATATCTTTCTGTTTGAGATGAGTGAAATTTCACATGTGAAACATAAGGGAAAGAAATGAAAATTAATATATATATATAATGGTCTTGCTATTGGAAGAACTGAAGTTTGATTGCGAGTGCTATAAGAGATTTAAGGGTACCCCTGTAGATTCTATTATGAACTGATTATTTGAAAATAGAATCTTTTGTATGTGATGCATCCAGGAGCAATAACGTTTAGACTACAACATGTCACTAATTAGTCAGATCAAAAATTCAGTCTTGTCAATAGATCAGATTCCTATTATTGCACTAAGACACTGCATATCTAATGTTTTAGGAAAACTGACCTTGCAGAAAACCACAACTACTGCAGCGAGAATACACTACTCATAATTTACACATGTACATGCAACAACGATTCTCTGACTGACAACAACTATTGGATACGAATTTTTTAATAATCAATCCATAAAATAGATTCTAAAGGAAGGAATCGCCTGTATACATTAGTATCTGCTTGTGCACTGATTATGGATAACCTCACAGATCTCCACTGGCTCTTGCTTATCAATAAGTAAACAGTGAGTGTAAACTTATTTTTCTCACTTTTTCAACAGACAATATCTGAGAACCACTTGGGCTGTCATTTGTAGTACATCTTGTGCAGCTCCACACTATTTACAGACTATTTACAGACATCTTAAAATATTGAATAGACAAGTGGGAAGTCATCAAAGGTGTGGTCTATTTCATTTCGCATGAGTTTATCTAGCTCTGATACCATTGAGCACATTTCTCTTGTGTTTATTTATCCACTGATGTAATTTTGAGGCATCGAGTCCTTCCAACCTGTCTCGCTTAAGGTCACAGAAATGATTATAAACACATTCATTTCCTGAGCTCTTTTGATAAGCTCTTGCAGGTCCCTCTCTTTGGATGGATTAGAATGTTTGCCAGATTTTGCATGTCGTTTCAAAGAATCATCAAGGTTTTCCAGGATTAATGATGTTGAACTTTCAGCTTTGCATATTCTTGATATGGCTGCCTCTGAGAGGTTTGGTCCAAGGTTTTTGATACTCTGCTTTACAAAGTTATTGCTGTGCTCTGTTGCCTCATCCAGAGGAATGTTGGTGCCTTTCTTGCCATGATTATTCACGGACCTGTTCCATCTGAAACGTTCACTGTCTCTCTGTGACAACAGAGAACTGATCAGAAAAAATTGGTACAAACATTCTAAAGAATACTTTGTACTATGATGATCATCTGCTTTACAGTACAGCATGAAGTACTTGTACTGTCGCATAAGCCTCAATCCATCACCTTCTTTGATAGCGTCGAGAAAATTAAAAAACAGAAAACAGTCAGCTAGAAGTGCACAGTTGTAATTGAACACATCATCACTTGTTTTTTTTGTACGCTCAAAAGAGTCATCATCACTAATACCTTCACTTGTTTTGCTACTGCTGTCTGCAGTTGAAGGTAATTGTGTAGAGAAATTGGTTTCAATAAGTGGCTCCTCTACTTGAACTGGTGGGTCATGCTTGAGTTCATGATTCTGCTTTTTCCATCATATTTAAATGAACTGGTGCATCCCGGAAATCTACAGGGAAATCTGCCATCGGTTGTTAACTCCTGTTGACGCAGCAGGTTTTCTTTCTCTGTTTCTGTCACTACAGTGTTTACAATAGCATCGACAGAAGAATGTTGGTCAAAAACAAATGCATCAACAACCTTGCCAGCTAATTCATGGAGGCAATTCAGTTTTTCTGACTTTCTCAGCAAATCCATCCTAGGTGGTAAGTCAACCTTTGATGGCTTCCCACTTTTGTTTTCACATCCGAGGACTTTATGGGCCACTGTAATTACCCTTGATTGGAAAAATACGCTCAGGAAGTCTCTGTCTGGCCGGTATGATGACTGTACATCTCCAGTAACATTTTCGTCTTTCTGCAACTATCAGTTGCAGATTTTCCATTGTAGAATCTGGCATAAATCAACTGATGATAAAAGAAACATCAAAGTGTTAGCAGGGTTGTCATTAAGAGCCGGGGGCCGGGGGATTTTCCCCGGCTACTAAGAGAGTGGCCCCCGGCTACTTTTATTAGAAAATAGAAGAAAAATAGAACCAAAATAAATCCCTAGCCATTAGATTCCCCGCCTACTTGTTGTGTTTAACCGGCAACTTGAAATCTTAGTGACAATCCTGTGTTAGGCGCGGTTCAGACGCCGTTCTTTCCATGAGCAGAACCTAATACATTGAATTAAGTACATGAAAAGTTTGGTATCTGAATCAATTAGGAATGCCTATTTCAATTTGGAACGGCTCAGCTGTTCTTCACGCCTAGCCCGGCCGGGAATATCGACTTTGGAACGACTTCAGATGCCGAACTTTTCATGTGCCGAACCTAATGCATAAATTATAATAAGGTATTGTATATTGATAAACCAATATCCAGCAGTTAAGTATTAGGGAAAACAATGGAATTAACCAGTAGCCATATGTAGAGGATTATTCAGTGGTTAGTGTTCTTGAAGTTTTGAATGAACTGGGGCCAGAATGATGATGATTATTAAATAAAAATGCTATTGGATACTGTAAATAAGCCCTTCTGGTTATAGGCCCATTCACATGTAAACAAAAAAATTCATCCAATTATAAGCCTCCCCCCCCCCAATATATGCCCTCCTCTTATTCTGTTCCGAATTTTATTGACATGAAGTGGATTTATTATGTTTGTTTGCAGCTTAATTGCACACCTGTACAATACTTTAATTAGCTCTGCTATAGCCTTTTTCAAGGCGCTATTTCTATTCCGGTTAAAAGCCCCCCTTGAATATAAGCCCCTCCGTTTATAAGCCCTCCTAAAACTCCTTGCAAAGAAGTATAAGCTGTGAGCCGCAGTTTACACTTATTAATCATCATGAAAGAAAATGAAAATTATATTATGGTCTTTCAGCTTCAACATTAATTTGTCAAAAATATGACAGATAATAACTCATCTTTTAGGTTTTAAATATTGTTTTACTCACACTGAATAGTTTGACAGCAGCGTGCCAATCACCCAGCTGTAAGTTGATTCCTTCGAGTCTGTCTTTGGGTGTGTAACCATTGGCCACAGAGGATATCATATTCACTGCTCGTTCAACGATAAGCTGGTCTCCTGAAAATAGTTGACCATCTACGCCACCATTGTGTGTCTGAGGAAGATAACCATGGAACTGCTGTAGAATTCCTAACATGTCCTCGTTGACATTTTCGTTTTTGAATATTAATCCAAGGGGAACCTGAAATACATTATTACAAACACTTAGTTGTTACAGTTATATGCATATGTGTGCATACTATGATAATCACCTGCAGGAACATTTTTAACCCCTCAGGTAATTACCATTTTATTTAGCTTCATACTGCCGAAAGTTGACATACTTTACTAATGTACCGATTTTACACAAGACTCCAGATAAAATACTCTTTCTGTGCTTGCTATCTAGACCTTTAATACCCCCTCTCCACCCCCCCCGACCCCACTCCCCTCCAGAATTTTTGGTGACCTTTCTCAGGATGGGTAATGAAATTTTATGAAACCATACATCATTACCACAGATTGGTTTAAACCAAAGAAAAGATTATTCTGCCCTACATGTTTATAAATTCAAACTTTTTATTCCAGCTTTTGCTAATAACTGGGCCCAGTTGTTCAAAGGCTGATTATCACTAATCCAAGGTTAAATTTAATCCAGGCACCTGTATCTTTCGTTCAAAAGCATGTTTTCTGTTCATTTTTACCTATAACTTTAGAGCTTATAGGCAAAAAGAATCAATTGCAAGAATTTGCTTTGCAAGCATTTAGATTTGAAGTCAAATTTCGTGCTTATCCTTGGTTCTCTTAATCCTGCTTTGACCAACCGGGCCCTGGAGTTGAGTCTTAAGATGATTCAACTATGGCAGATTTAAAACAAACCTTCTTTGTTTTCTTGGATAATTCACTTGTATATTTATGAGGAATATGCTGGATGCAGGCATCAGCCAAAGGCGTTAAGACATCAAAGTAATTAACCAATATTCTAGAACACGGGACAACGTAGTTCAACCTCTGACATTTCTGTTCCTCCATTGATGGCCAAAAACTCAAATTACAAACATCAAGTAGGTTTCTTTTTGGAGCTGAAGAATCCAACATAGCCCCAGAGACTCTGTTCTCCACCATCTGATGGTTTACCCAGTGGAAGTCCTTGTTCTGTGACTCCATAGTCATGTTCTTTCGATCCAAATGGATATCCAAGTTGTCAAACGAAATGACGAAGCCTGGGTGTGCTGCCTTTTGTATTTCATCTTTCTCCCTTTTGGCTGATGAAAAATAAGTGGAAATGAGTCATGAGTCAAGTACAACAACTTGATTCTCTCTGATTTGCTTCCATGCAATCATTGCATGATGCAAATTAATATTGATTACAATATACAAATTAATATTACTATAGTAAGTGCATACCACTGATCCATATAGTCAATGCGTAACCCTGACCCAACTTATAACTTTACTCAGAAGTCATCAACTCATAAGACTCACAAAAAGCTTTCTCATACCTGACTGGACATCATCTTAACATTCTAAAGAACAGTGGGTGTGGGAAGCATGTGTTAACAAGACAGCATCACATTTCTCTTGAGCAGTCTTCAGATCTTTGTTTTGATTTGAAACATGTTGTTTTGATTTGAAACATGTCGTTTTGCCTGGACATGCAATAGCTGCATCATGGTTCTCGCCTAGCTCATCTAGTTTTCTCAGTATAGAGAAATTTGCATTAGTCAGTTTCATCTTGTCAAATCTGCCGATGGTTGACTGTTGAGCAAGCAAAATATATGTACATAAGGTTCGAAACTGTCCATCTATAGTGGTATGTTAAAACTAAAAAGAAGGAAAAATTTAGAATTATCAACTGCAGGGACTATGTGCATGCTGATATTTTTAGGACTTAAAGGGTTAAGGAAGCAAACTTGGATAGATCTCTGGGAGTTGTAGAAGATGAAGTTTTCAAGGAAAATTTTGTGCTCTTTCTGTTGCAAATGCAAGTACTTTCTATTATTACTTTTACTGAGCTACTGCACTGCAAATTAACTGGGATATATGACCGTGTTTATTAGTGTTTCTAAGTGTTCCGACACTGTAACTAACTGCTGGTATTTAATGACAGTGTATTAAACGTACAATCAAAGTTTTTGAAACCGTCATGGGGGTAGATGCATCATGCAAGATTTCTTTCAAACTATCAACTATTAAAAAAAATTATATAAGCTTCCATAAGACTTCACTTGCCTCTACTGACTTTGACTTGAGAAGTATGCCAAGAACCGAAGCAGTGGCATCCATTTTCTCACTCCTCTGTTTTAGAAGTACTGATCCCGCTATGGCTACACTTGAGAACCATGAATACTCTTTAGTCCTTTTGTTCACTGCCGAAGTCATCAAGAACGAGAAGAACAGTGGTGCTCTCTGTCTCCACTCGTTGCATAGAAGTTGGAAGTCGAACTTGGCCAGATCCTCTTTGCTTGACTTTCTCGAACATAATGACTCTACCTCTTTTGACAGGGTTTTCAAGGTATTTTCAATGATGTGATTCTTGATCGTCGGATTTTTCATTACCGCATTTGCGATTTGCGAAGGAACCCCATGCGCTAAAGCCTTTCCAATGGCCTGATAACTTCCACTCAGGGTTTTGTTCAAAGTTTTACTTGGGTACTGGACGGTCAGCACAGTCTTTGTAGCTTCACTTGATTTATCACGAGGATTGGAAGAACCTTTTAACGCGACTGGAGTCGAGGTAAACATCGGCAAAGGCGAAGGTGTTGCTGTCAAAATTTGACCAGGGAAAACTTGCAGCACAAGTCCGTAAGGATGACTGCGAATTGGAGATACACCTATAGGCTGGCTAGTCGCGGTAAAATTGGCTAAAGCATGACAAGAAGTAGAAGTGGTAGCGATGGGAAATAAACGTTTCGAGGATTTCCCACGGCACGAGGCTGGGGATTCTCCACTGTCGTCCTCAACGCGAAGTAAGCGCTTCGCTCTCAGATGTTCACGATCCTTGTAGATTTGTTTTAGTTCAATTTTCAGCTCTTCAAGGTGATCAGAGGCCTTTTTGAACTTGATAAGTCGCCTATAACACGCTTTACAAACTGCCAATTCGCTGGCCGCTGAATAGCAGCTCACATTAACATCCAGACAGGAACTTACTATGTCTGGAAAATCGAAAGAGCTTTTACCAAATATATAGATTTTTTCTTTTTTTGGAATTTCCGTGGAACAAACGAAGCAACGATCGCTTTGCAACACTTTCTTTGGCGTATCCCCCAATGAAAAAACTCCGATCTTTTTAGAACGTGAGCATTTCTCGAGAACTTGAGAATTTGAGAACGCGGGAAAAACCACGTTGTTTACAATATTCTGTGATTTGATTGGTCGCATACTAAACAATGTCAGCGATCTGATTGGCGCAAAGACTACAAAGGGAAAGGAATGTTGTTTGAATGTGAGCAGCCGTTTGTGGGGAGGAGCGTTGCGTGACGATCATACTAAAAACGGCTGCGAGGGAGACTAGTTGAACCCGCACCTGTGCAGAATGTTGAAACAGTGGGAGCACCGCCCAGAGAGAGCTTGAGTGAAGAAGAACCAGTTAGAAGAACATATGAAGATGCATTTATGGAAGAAGTCCGAAACTTAGGACCAGTGAGGCAGCAAAGAATGCCTAGCAGATTCCAAGATTATGATTGCCTATTTGTTGACTCAGAAGTTGACGATCCAGGCACAGTTCATGAAGCATTGAATGGTAAACATTCTGACCAGTGGAAAGAAGCCATGAAGTCTGAATACTCATCTTTAATAAAGAATGATACATGGGAACTAGTACCTTCACCTGAAGGAAAGAACATTGTTGGATCTCGCTGGGTCTTGAAAGTCAAGCATGATGAAGATGGTTCCACAGATTGTTTTAAGGCCAGACTTGTTGCGCAAGGTTATTCCCAAGTCAGAGGTGTAGATTATGAAGAAGTATTTTCACCAGTGGCTCGTTATACATCTGTGAGATCGTTACTTGCCCTAGCTAACGCACAAGATTTGGAGATTCACCAAATGGATGTAAAAACTGCCTTTTTGAACGGTTCATTGGACAGTAAAATCTACATGTCACAACCAGAAGGATTTGTTGATCCTGACAGACCAAATCATGTTTGCAAACTGAAGAAGAGCATTTATGGACTTAAACAGTCAGCTCGTTGTTGGAACACTACTCTGGATGAGTATTTGAAATCAGTTGGCTACTGCAAAAGCAAGGCTGATGAATGTATTTATGTAAAGTCTGTGAAGGAAGCTAATGGTCACATCAGCTTCGTGATACTTGGTGTGTATGTCGATGACATAATTCCAGTTTCAAACGACACTGCAAAGCTGAAAGCAGAGAAAGCTGCATTATGTGAAAGATTGAGATGATTGATCAGGGAGAGATTCATTATCTTCTTGGTTTGTCAATCAAGCGAGACAGAGAGTCGAGAACATTAACAATAAGTCAATCCAACTACACAGAGAAAGTGCTAAGGAAGTTTGGAATGGAAAACTGCAAACCTGTCTCTACTCCACTTGAGCCTGGAAGAAAGTTTCAGCAGTTATCTTCAAGTGATGAGCACTTTGACATTCAGACCTATCAACAGGCAATTGGATGTTTGACCTACATGTCAACAGCAACCAGACCGGATATCGCTGCAGCAGTTGGAGTCTTGTCTCAGTATATGTCAAAGCCCAGCAAAGACCACTGGATGGGTGTGAAACGTGTTCTACCATACCTCAAAGGAACTTTGAATTATGGCCTGAAATTCTCTGTTCATGGAGAGCAAACAGAATTAAATGGCTACAGTGATGCGGATTGGGCAGGAGATGTTGACACTCGTAGATCAACATCAGGCTATGTATTTCAGTTTGGAAATGGTACCATCAGTTGGTCCAGCAGGAAACAACCCACAGTTGCTAAGTCCTCGACTGAAGCGGAGTATGTTGCTTTGAGTTCAGCTACTCAAGAAGATATGTGGCTACGTCGTCTAATGAAAGACTTTGGAAAACAGACAGATGCCCCAACTACCATCTATGAAGACAGCCAAGGAGCCATTGAGCTGGCAAAGAATGCCAAATACCACAGCCGAACTAAGCACATTGACATTTGTCACCATTTTGTTCGAGAAAGAGTTGTTTCCAATTAAAATAGAGTGATTTATTGTCGTACTGAGGACATGGTAGCAGACATTATGACAAAGGGACTACCAAAACCTACTTTTGAGAAACTGAGAGATTTAGTAAGCGTGCATGATGTTGTGTGAGGATTATTATTTAGCTCTATGATTCTAGACAAAGTATTATTTTTGCTGAACAGCATAATCGTCAAGTGGGAGTGTTAGAATTATGATAATTTATGAACGTTTCTCATTGGCTAATTCTTGACACATGGTTTTTGATATATTAGTACTGTTCTGGTCTTTTCTCGCGCTCGTCCTTGTGAACTGTGACACAGCGTATGTTAAAGAATAAATGTCCAAAGAGTGCCGATGAGTTTGAATCTTTCTAACAAAGTTATGTCATGTAAAATAAAGAAGAGTAACGAACTGATATTCTTTAACAAGGTAGCTTGTGATCTTGGCCATGTAAACAGCACCAGGGGCCACCGAGCTCTGCTAGAGCACAGCCCCGAAGTCTCAATGGTTGCTTGTAACCGACACAGACTCTCTTGTGAGAAAGTAGCTTTACATGACACAGGGCTTCCAGAATTATGCTCGGATGCGAAACTGCATAATTTGGCTCTGAGCGAATAATTCGCAAAACTCTGAAAAAACGCCTAATAGCGCATAATTTTCAAAAATTCTAAAAAATCTATTGATAAGCTATGTTTTTTCATACCTTGAGAGATGCATAGACATTTTTTTCCCGTAAATATAGTACATTTTCGCACCAAATAGCCACCGCTTCGTCGCAAAAAGCGTTCACAAATATCGCAAATCAGCAAGGCATTCCAGACGTTCTATGCTGCTGGCCGTTGGGGCCTGTGCTCTAGTTTTTCATATAACACGCACCGTGATTGGAAGAAATATAACCAATCACAGCTTGGAATAGAACAAAAAGCGCCTGCTTTGATTCATTTGACAGCAAAACAACTTTCTTTCCCGTGTATTCGCTTTGAAAATGGATAAGTTAATTTTAACAGTAAAACCAAAGAAAAAGCCATGTAGCATATTATGCCATGAGTGAAAAAGGCGTGCGCTGCTGCGAACATATCGCTAAACAAATCAGAAAATCCTACAATGCATGAATTTCTTCTTTCCCATGTAGTCAATGGTGGCACGATCCCTAACGGCACACAGCTTTAGGACCTCTTATTAGATTTTTACTAGATGTTCATGCCTGATTTGCAAGCTTAAGAAATTAAAACATTAAGAATTTCTCCTTAAAAATATTGTGCAATATTGCACAATTCGCATAATTCGCACATAATTCTGGATTTTTAGCGCATAATTCGCCAAAAAATAGCGCATAATTTGCTAAAAGAAAATGCATAATTCCGGAAGCCCTGATGACACACTCATAACGTCATCTTTGGTAGCCTTCGGAAATCTACTGAAATATCTGAACTGCCGTAAAATGGTCAAAAACTCCTTGATATACCAGGGTGCAAAGAAAGTCAATTTTAATTGGGAAATTAAACGAGACTTACCTGTAAGTTGAAGTTTGATTGAGATTCTATCACATGACAACAGAAGGCGAGAGATATTTTTGCTGTGTTTGCATAACATTCGAGATGTAGAAGAAATCCCTCGACTTCCTATTGCATGACTTGTGTCAAATTCTTGCAAATCCTCTCGTGTATATTTTTGGGTATGGTAATATATGATAATGAGTTTGAAACAAAAGAAAATTTAAACCAAGGATAAAATTGAACCACAACATATTTAAGCTTACATCAGGCTATGTAAACACGGGAAAACGACACACAAATGGATGGAAACTGCAAAAACATACGAGGAAGACGAGCACAAATATGTCTGCAGTCGACAAAGCTGCAGGATCGAATGAACCTCTGTAGCCCATCCCTAACTATAACTATTTGTCATGTTATCTAGCACCGTGTAGTTTACTCGAGCGATGTATATTTAGGTTGTTAGTGTTGTTTTCGTCAACGCTTGAGATGAAGGCTTTCGATAACACTGTGGTCTCAGGTTCAAGTTTAGGGAATAAATAACGAATAAAAAAATATTAGTTACCTGCTTTGAATGCCCTGCACTGAAATACAACGGGCGTGCTGATTTTAGCCGAGCCAAGACAACTCCGACGAAACGGAAAGCATTCCAGCTTGTTTTACTATTATATTCCTAGAATTTCACTCAACTAAACAAGGACTGCCATTGGTTGATTCTTGGTCACGTGGCCTTGACTAAATCAAATGTATCCCAATCGTGATACATTAAACAATGTATCCCGCTCGGGCTACATTGCAGCACGTGATCAAAGCATGGTGGAAAGTGGCGTGACAGAAGGTTCAGGGCGGAAAAACGTAATGAGCATGCGCGAACTTTTTTGCCCAGATCCCCTGGCCGGGTTTGAAAAAATGGCGGGATTTCAAATAATTTATTGCCTAAAAATAAAATGTTTCCACTCATAACCTGGAAAGAACAGGCAATTTGTCTTCAAAAGTTGCAAGCTGTGTTTATAACCTTGTCGTTAGTAAATTTTCTCGAAGAATACCTCATAGTAAAACGGACTTTAACGACATTGATTTCCTTGCGTTGTGCTGGAAA